CCACACGATGGCCGGCAGACCATCCTCACCTGGCGCCTTCCAAGACTTCGTTGCGAGCAACTGCCTCTCTACCTCTTCCATAGTGATGACCGGCATCTCGACCGGCGCTCTTTGTGGTCTTGTTCCTTCGTCTTCAATGTTCTCCGGCAAGGGCGGGAAGAATTTGGTCAGAAGTTCTTCGGCTTGTTCCTCATGGTCAGTGGTAACCGTTCCGTCTGCTCGTAGAAGCTGCGGAACTTTCCCGAAGGCTGCATCTTCTCCTGACTTCAGGTATTGAGCAGCTTTCCAAATGTTGTCGTTGTCGGCCAGAAAGTCATTCCAGTGCTTCTTCTTTTGTTTCCGAATTGCGTCATGGTATTGCTTCGCGGCGCTTGCGGCCATGTCCTCCAGCTGCGGCACCTTTCGTCCTGCTCGTCGCTCCGAGCGGGCGTGGTTTCTCCAATATGTGTATATCTGACGGAGTTGCGTCAGGTCCGCCGTCCACCATCGCTTTGCGTATGGTGACGGTTTGGCTCTCGGCGTCAACGCGCGAACCGCTTCCGACACCGCGGACATGAGCCGGTCGGTTTTTTGCTGCACCGAGCCTCCCCCCCGGGGTGGCAGCTAGCGTTCCTGCAATTCTAGCATTGATCTCCTTCCACGGTGCGTTCTTCAGAAGTAGCCGCTCCGTCTGCTTCGGAGCTGTCCAAGGAGCATCGAAGACCGTCTCAATGGTCCGGTGGTCTGAGCCGTGCTCTATTCCATGTACCGCACATTTGATCATCGAGTCCGTCAAGTTTTCCGAGGCGAGAACGAGGTCGATCGTCGACTCGCAGTCCCCGGAATATCCTCCACCGTGCCATGTCTTGGTGCCTCGTTTGAGCAGGCTGCTGAGTCCAAATTCATTCATAAGGTCGATGATCGGATCCGCTTCGCCTTGCCTGACTGAGGACACCTCGTCTCCTCCCCACAGTTGATCATGGCGGTTAAAGTCCCCCATGATCATGATCTCCACCACCGTTCCCGAGTCTTGTCGTACTTTAGTGATTGCTTTTCTGAGATGATCGCATGCATCGTTCAACGCAGCGGCATCGCCTCCTTCCACATAAACCGATGCTATCAAAATCCGTTGCTCAGGAAGCCGAATCACAGCCGCTGTTAGGTCCGGCGACTCGATCTGTACTTGCTCCGTTTCCACATCCTTATTTACCCACAGCATGCTTCGAATCGCCCATCTCCCTTCTCTCCACGTGGAGGGGACCATCTTAGTCCATTGATGATGTCCCATCGGGGTGGTCAAGAGCCGGCCTTGAATCCTCCTCGCCTGGGGCTCCTGGATCGCTAGTGCCACTGCGTTTGCGGTATCTTGGTCGTTCATAAGGCTTTCATGCACCTCACCCTGTTTCCTCACATTCAGTTGCATCACTCGGAGCGTTTTATTCATTGCGTGGCGGATAGAGCTTCCGACAGTTTCTGCTGAACGATTCATGAGGGCCTCCGCATGGAACGCACCTTGGAACTGTCTGGTCGCAGTTACTGTGGCGATGGCCTTCTACGGCGCACTTTGCGCATCTCTGGGCATTCTTGCACTGAAAAGCCTTGTGCCCAATCTCCTGGCACTTATAGCATTGCATCGGTCGTGGTCGATGCTCGAAGGTGCTGGTCACGCCGGATTCTCCCCCAGCATGGAAGTATCCGTCGGCTAGCAGTCTCCGTGCGTCACTACCTTTAGTGAGGTAGACGACCATTGACCCATATGCTTTTGCGCTCTCCCTCTTGCTAAGCCATGCGATTTTCGCAACGGTGGCTTCGTTCTCCTCGCTGAAGGCGGCTGCGGCTCCGGCACGGATCTCATCTTTTTCATCCAGAACTGCGGCTTTATTTACGCTGTCAACTTTGATAGGGTAAAGCTCATCCCGGAGCACCCGTGCCCCTGCGCCGATCTTGGCTTCCGCCACTTTCTTAACCAGCTGATGCTCGGCCTCGTCGCGGCACGCTATTCTGATCCGGTTCGTGTTCTTTGGGTCCACAGTGACAGCGCGACAACGCCAATGCGTGTGGTCTGCCGTCGCTCGGATCTCTGTCTCGACTGCCGCCCGGATAGAGCCTGCAGACATCCTCTCGTTTTCGTTCTCTGCCATCCTGGAGGTGTCGATTGTGCAATAGAGTGTGTCGGTGAGCGTGGTTGGTGTTGTGTTCGATGTCGAGAGGCTCCGTATATTACTCGGGTGGCTGAGCGGGGGAGTGCGGGCGACATCGGCATAGGACGGGGATCCTGTGAAGGCGGGAGCGCTGATTTCTTCACGTAGGGATTGGATTTCTCGGAGGATTTCATCGTGACCAGTCTGGGCGCACGCTTCGGAGTTGCACTGCGATGTCGGGGTCCTGTCTGTCAGGTTCTGTAGCTCGTCCCGGACCCCAGCGAGGGCAGCACCGAACTCTGCTTTGGCTTTTTGTAGTTCTTCCTTGTGCAACTCGTCTCGTAGCCTGATTTCTGTCCTGAGTTTGGCGATCTCTTTCACCAAATCGTTCACATCGAGGTTGTCGCTCTCAGTCGCGGAGTCATCCGAAGCTGCCTTATCAGGCTGAGATTCGGGTCCAGTCCTCTTCTTTTGCTGAGGTCGCGTCTGCCTCTGTTCATTGTCGGTTTCTTGTTCTTGAGCATAGATTCGGGGTGGTCTGGTGATGCGTTTCGGTCTTGCCAGTCGCGGTGGCGAAGCTTCGCGTTCGTCGCGGTCGGGCGGCTCAGGGGTTCGCATCGCGGCCCGTCCCGCCATCACTCTCAATCAGTACAGGAAATCGGTATTGTCGCCACGTGGCACTCCGTAAAGCTCCAGAGTCCTGCTACTATGTACAGACGCCTTATCTACAGTACAGTATTTCCGGAAATCGGTGTCACCCACTAGTTAGCTGTCAATATGTGACTGCTACACTCTTTCATTGCTCCCCGAACCCAGTATGCCAAGATATACTAAACTACTTTCGAAGAAGCTATGTCAGCCTCATAGGCCGCAGCGAACGCGCTATTGCCAGGATTCGGCCTAATCTGCGACAACAGCTGGGTCAAAACGTTCCTATGGAATAAGCGAGCTAACTACATGTAGAATGGGAAATTTTCCGGATCCTTGATAGACATCTTTACCCAATTGAATACCGATAAGAATTATTTGAAACCGAAATGAGTCTTCCCTTATCATCGTGTTGGCTGAACAGCCACAAAATTTGGATTCATCAAGTGTCTCAACAACTATTCTATACAGGGCAAATACAAATACAAGCACTTCGGTTTCGCCAAGCAATTTCTCTTTCGCGTGATCCATGACTGCCCCTCATTAAGTTCCGGACCCTGAAAGTGGCGAGCCGCAAACCCCCTGGGTTTTCCGGTTTCCCTTATAACCCCGGAAATTTCTAAAAAAATTCAGTCTTTGCGGACTCGCTATCTAATTTTCCTAGGCTCACCACTTGTACCACCTGACAGCGACATTTATTGAAGGTCATTCAGCTTTGTCTTCGTTAGTGCAGGCCGTGGAGACAGACGAACATGGCACTCCCAGAGCCACCTCTATGGTGTCGAATGTACGTTTACATTACAAGGTTTTGTTCCATAATATGAAGATCCTAGCTAACTTGTGAAGTACATTGACCATCATCACCATCTGCTCATTCCTACCTCAGATCCAACGTATCCAAAACACGCAGAGCATCCAGGGAATATCTCCACTCTATATCCTATGGAATCTAATCAGCGCCACTGAGCAGTTCACCATCTTTTTCTTTGGACTTATAAATCTATGGGGCCCTGAGGGCTCTATTTTTTTGCATGCTCCACCGTCCAAGGGCGACTGGTTTAGCTTGTGCCATTGTGGCATAGTCACAGTCCTGTTCTTAGTATTGTGAGTCCATGTCCTCGATTCAAGGACGCTTCTATGCATCAGGATTCTAACACCAGCTCTTTCTGCAGGTTCGTCCAAGTTTTACTTCACAGCGACCGCAGAGCTTCTCTAGGCATCAGCTACACTAGCTATCTCCTGGTCTCAGTTATCCCTCTATTTATCGATGCCGTCTCGCCGTTTGATGATCCCTATGAATTGCTGGCGGCTATTTTCTTCGCTTTCCATTCCATGCTCCTTTGGCCCGTGATCACAATCCTAGGCTGTTTGAGCATATATCGTCAAGCCCGCAAGATCTTCACAGTACCATTTCCAAACTCGCTGAGCCTTCAAGGGCTGTTGCTACAGGCTATCGCATTTCTGCTCGTCTCGGTGGCGTGGGTATGGTGTCTTCCGTTTCCGTATGAAAAGGCGAGAGAGCATTGGAATGATGGTGCCTTTTCTTCCTGGTATTCCAGTGTTGGCTGGATACCTTTCGACACCTTGATTTTTGCTTTCGGCCAAGCACTACTTTTTGTGCTAGCATCGCGCCAAGCGTCCTCAGACGATGATATAACGCGAAGGGACGAGACGGAGCCTCTTTTAGGATAGATCAAGTAGATAGAATGAACAATTCATTCCCACATCGTCATTTTTAGAATTGTTTACCTTGGGATCTTGACGATCTTCCCGTGATAACTTCAATCATGTTTCTATTCAGTCAATGTAAACTCGATATACTCGAGGTACTTTTTTGGTCTATAGCATCTCAGGCCCGCTGAGTGTAACTGTGAACGATGAGGCATCACTCTTGCGAGTGGCAGGCATGGCAGCTTTCCATATAAAGAGGGTCGTACCTTCCAAGTCTGCCAACTGGCAACTGGCAAGTGGGTATGAGGGCTACGGCCATCTGAGCATCCTGACAACCTGACAACCGGTGCACTTCCATTCACTCCAAGTCTTTTTCTTTTTGATACCTAGTCTCACATCTCACACCTGAGACACCCTTCAATTAACGCACCGCACCTTCAGTCATCTGGTAAGCCGGAATAATCTTTGTTTTTGCCTCATTCCCTTCTCTTCCATTGCAATACTGACATCTTCCAGTTGCATCCCATCATTCTGTCTTGGCTCCAGCCATAGGTTATCAGCATGGAACTCACTCAGTTCTACCCCAGACCTCCCAAATATCCCTCGATACTCCATGTGGTCAATATTCTGGTACGTTGGAAGAAGCTCCTCTTTGTCTCTCCCGTACTGACATCTTCTAGCTGCATCTTACCGCTCTGTCTTGGTTCCTCCAGGGGTTGATTACCATGACTCTTGCGCAGAATAATTTTGGACCTCTCACTACACCCTTCGTGCTGCCTTCCTCTTGTGCCACTCCCTTTCTACCATGCGAGCTTTGCACCGTGGCTCTAAAGGGCCAAGGATGTGGCCCGTCATACTACACCGATGATCCTGAATGCTGGCCTTTGAGACCCCTCGAAACCCAGTCGCCACGCCCACGCTTTCTTCAAGGCTTCTACTCGCCTGGAGTCTCCTGTCCAGCCGGTTACACCAGTGCATGCCAGGTCACGCACGGTGGAGGTGGAGGTTTTTCATTCGATATCCCTCCAACTACGTCTGAGACCGCTATTGGATGTTGCCCAAGGTATTTATCGATGATTTCTTTCCAGTGGGGTTAGAGCACATGGATACACCAGAGGCTAACACATCTCACGGTGACTTCACTTGCACTAATGTGCCTTCCCACGACCTTTGCGGTGGAGTTGACTGCAAGGAAACATCGCACGGTCCTCCCCTTATCCAAAAGTGTGTGTCCACAGCACAATCCACCGAATACAAAGGTTTTGGCTGCTGGGAGGGAAAGCTCAAGCCAATTGATGTAACTGTCCCCGGAAATAACACTCTTTCCTTGGGAACCGGAACCATTACGATATTTCAGCGCAGCATATCTGTTTTCGCCCCTTTGATCCAACTCGTCCACCAACGCACAGATGTGACCGATTCATCTACAAGCACTGCTGGGGCTGAAAAGAAAAAGGGAATTCATTCTTCACTTTCCACAGGTGCAAAGGCTGGAATCGGCATTGGTTCTGTCATCGGGGGATTCGTACTTGTCGGAGCAATCTTTCTTTTTTGGTCTCGCCGACGCCGAAACAACAGGGCTACAAATCTAGCCAAGGGAGACTCTTATGTCAGAAATCTCCAGAACTACGAGCTTAGCTCCCGCTGAAAAAAAGGTGGAGCTTCTGGGGGAAATCTATCTGCGCGTTTGTAATTTGCCAACTCAAAAGCATTCTATTGTCGTTGTTTTAGAGCACGAGGTGGACCGGCACCATTATCATGGACACAACGCCCGGGTCATAATTTCAACTATCGCCATACTCCTTCGAGCAGATAATAACATCAACGGTTTCTAGCCCTTTAATTTCCGGATCTAGTTGCTCGTGAAAGTCCAAAACTCCCGTCCACTTTGAACTAATGTCGAACTTGGAACTGGTATATGCGACCACGACCTTCTGCTGGCATTGCCACGACTTCTTCACGTAAAGTTGCCTTCTCCCAATGCGAAATGCCGAGCCAGGACCGAGCTCTGTCAGATAAGAGTCCGGTGGGGTTGAAAGCCCAAATTTCAAGCGCCTGGTCGGCCGTGTATGTCATGGCCATCCATCCTGTAGTAATCATTGCAGGTTCCTGGAAATTGAAATTGGTGTGAAATCTGCCGCTGTATATCATCTATCTGTGATTCACAGTTCAGATTAACCGCAAGTCCGCCAGCATCCCTGAGGTCACTCCCAATGAGGATCCGAGAGTTGCCATTTAGCAAAATTCGGTCCTCTCTATCGATGTATTCGGGTACATCTTTCGTCCAGTGACAGTCAATTTCGCCGGATTCCTCGAAGTTTGAATGTTGTTCCTCTCGTGGCAAAGGTGCAATGAAGCCGCGCTCTGTTCGGATGATTGGACCTTCATCTGCTGTTCCTCCCACCAGCCAAACTGGACCCCACAATTCTTGAAGATCTTGAACCGTCAAAGATACTTTCAAGCCAGTCTGCACTTCTTGCTCTCCCATTTTTCCAAGGACCCAAGCAGGCCCTCCAATGAAATCTTTTAGGCAAGCCAATTCTTGAGATTGGAATGAGAAGTCAAGCCCAACTGGAATCTCGTCATGATGTTCATCCCATAGGTTTATGTCAAACCGACAAACATGGGAGCCAGAGAAGGAAACAAGTGCGAGTGGTAGGATATTTTGAAAGAAGTTATAGATCAGGTGGTGTGATGGTTTCATACCGTTCTGCTTGTCTTCTTCGTACCCGAAAATCTTGTCAAAAAGAGCGATGGCGTGGTCTGCAGAAGTTATGTTCGAGCGGTCTATATCCTCAAGGGATATATGAACAGTTTTGGCAACCTGCGGACGAAGCTGATCTTTCACCAGGATTGAAAACGTGCTTCCGCAAAATCCTTCAGAATTCAAACAGCCGATAGCACGTTCCGTATTTCCAAGTACGTCTAGAAAGCCAATTTTTGCGTCTTCAAGCGCAAATGAGCTTTCCTTGGAGGCTTCCCGTATTTCAAAATCAGTCAATATGTGTGTACGGAGACCAGAATCGATATTGAACTTCATGGCAATTAGGGCTTCCAGTTCGTCTAACTTCTCGTAATAAGCAGCAGGGTTCAAGAGATGATCTAACTCTTCTGGGTGTTGCGGTTCAGAATGTGCGGTATAGCTACCATCTTGAGATGGCTGAGTAATTTCAGTTTTCATTGAGCTCTCGAGTGAAAAGGGCTCCAACTCAGAATCGTTGGATTCGGCACTAGATATCTGAGATTCGGAATGGGCGAGGTTATACTTGTTCTCATTATCTGATTTCATTCTCGGTTCAGTCTCGGCATTGTTGTTTTCATTGGTACCAAGTCTGCGTTTTTTGGCTGGAGGCATGGAAATATCGGACAGAAGATCCTTTTGTTCAGACTCTCTTTCCGATGCGTCATCCAAGGGGACTTGTCGACAGGAACCCTGATTATCCTTCCGCTCGGAATTATCCTCAATCTTACCCGCCAATCGACATGGGACTTGTTCAGATATTTGGTCAGACGCCTCCTGGCTGGAAAACAATAGATCTTCCGGTAGATTTGAATCGGGTGCGGAATCAAAACTACCTACGGGACGTTGGTCACGGCCACTTCGACTTGTTTGAGGGGTAGGATAGCTGGATTTGATTGGAGTAAGGTGCCCCATAATGCACGTTCTAAATTGATCCCAGGATCCCACAGATAAGGAGCACATTGGACAAGACGGCGGAACAGCATGCTCCACGGAATGGCTGATGACATTTTCCGTGGAGGAATCCACACCAACGTGTGCGCGACAATGAGCTTGCATCTTGTCTCTCCTGTGTTGTTTTAAACCACATCCGGTCTTTGGGCAGTTATATGTCCTCTCAGGGAAATGCGTGTCGCTCAAGTGCCGCTTGAAGGCTCCTTTATTTATAGAACTCATCGAACACCAAGGGCAGCGATATTCCGAGTCATTCCTGCCACCTGGTGCCAACGCCACTCGTCTTTCTTGTCCCGATAGTAGTCGACGGGTGGTGACTTGTGGATTTCTCAAATTAAAGGCTGTAGGGGCTGTTGCCAATTCAGGAAAGGATGAGCTTGTATCGGTTATCAGAAGTGGATTGACCATTTCCAAAGTATCTTGTAAGATCCTTTTCAGTTCCGCTATTTGGCTTTGGGAAGATGAGGATAATCGTCCCTGTATTTTCTTGAGAAAACCATTCAGGCTTTCCAGCTCCAATGGGTCTTTCCATTCAGATTGCTAGAAGAAAAGTCAGAACTTCGCCTTGGGCTCCGTATTGAAGAAAAAGTACCGGTCCACCACTGAGGTAGGAATCTGAAGTCAATCTACTGGCTTTAGCAGGGTTCTCAAGATTGAAGGGAAGTCACATACTCGGTAAGATCGGTCCAAACCGACTGGTTACTAGACGGACCCGACTCTGTCTGGTCTTGTGCGAACTGACTTACTGGGTATGAGTTTTCGTCATCAGGAGCCCTTAGAGTCGCCACGGTATCACTCAGATCCAATCTGAAGCGGTTTCCGTAGTAAATTTCTTCATCTCCATCTAGGTTTGAAAAGGGGGCATGAAAAGGAAAACTCATTTTGGCGCTGATAAATTCGGACAAGATCCAGATCGATTCAGAGATTGGGGGAATGCCATTCCCATATTTAATAGAACGCTCAGCTCCGCTAAAAGCGTTGCGGCACAGCCTCTCCACCCGGGCGTATTGGACAGGTGCCTTCCAACAGCATCACACCGCCCCCATTGGGGCATGTACATATTGAAGTCTGCTTGCTGCGCCCTGTGATAAGATTCGTTAACTTGCGTGACCGGTATGTGATTAAGTGCATTAGCTTGCAGAGGGCACTGTGGCTGATATCATGTTGTTTGCTACCAAGTTTTCCAATAGGCTGCCTACTACATAGTAATCATGCCTAATGTACTTGAACCGCCACAGCAGAGCCCGAGGGAGATGCCATTGTGCAGTTCAAGTTGATGCCCAACATTTGGACTGACTATTGGAGCTTAAGGTTTGAGGACCGGATGATTGGCCAATATCAACACGAATTAATATCTAAATGCAAAACAATGTCCATGTAGAGTAATATCTACAGACATGGTAGGGATATCTAAATCAAATACACAACGATATCCTGCACGCCAAGAAACCAGGCCGGCAAGAATCAACACGACGAATCCAAGGACAAATCCACACTTATATGGTATAACCCTGGTTCTCCTCAGGCAACTGTTCCCTTACAGTCTCACCATAAACCTTAATCGGAATAGAAATCTCAAAAGATTCACAACCAAGATACTCCATCGCAGACAAGACTTTGCCCCGATCATCAGAAGAAAGGGTCTCAAGCAGAGCCGTCCCGGAAGGCGGGGTTCCAGAGATATGTTGTTCGCCATGCAGATTCGGCGTGACAAATTCAAACCGCAAATCCCAGTCCAGCGTGACTCCACTCGTAATAATCGTCGGCGTGGCGGAGATGGGAATAGCCGGACTGAAAACGACGCGCGTGGCGTATAGTGTATTCTCGAATAGAGATGCGTGGATGCGGCGCGTGGTACGGTGAATACTGGCGTTTGACCGAACGGCCAGGGTAGGCGTGACTTTCTCCGATGTCTCGAGGGAAGCTCGGACGGCGTAAGATGGGATTGAAGCTTCGCCGAAATCCACGCTGGCCATGATAGTCTCGCCTAGACGGTGAATTGGGCGGTTCAGAACGACCACGGCGATGCGTTTCCCGTCGCGGGCGATCTCGAAACGATTTGGACTGCGTCTTGTCTGCGCAGCCTGGTTGCTGCGGAGAATGGCGAAGTCGATTATGTCCTTGCAGGATAGGCCGTGCGGGATCCCGTCGTAACTGGATGCCCGTCTTTCGGGGAGGGCTCCCGGGGGAAAAAGGGAGTTTGAACGAGAGCTTTGTTCGAGAATCTCGTCCACGAAGGAGAGGAAGTCGCCTGCGGAATTCCATTGGCTGCTTACACTTTGATTTTTTACAGCCACGGGGGCATGTTGGTTGACTTTTTGCACCTTTGCTTCATCGCGTAGGATTACATATGGTGACATGAGGTCGTGACCTAGGATGTCTCCCTTTTCTGCAAGATTGTTAGAAACATCAAGTCTATATAGAGAAATCGTGGCACTCACCATTGACCCCGCTGAATACGCGGAACGGGATGTTGATACGGTTGACCCGCTGGGCCTCGTTCGGGCCGCTAGGCCGCTGGGTGCCGATGACCAGGTTATATGAGACCTTAATTGCTTTCCCCTTGTGGCTCGCCGGGAGGCCCCTGGGCAGGGAAAAGGAGAAAGTAAAAGATTGTTCTTCTCCAGGTGCTAATCGAAGATCGACAAAGAGAAGTGATTGCGGGGTGGAGAGCAAGGGGATAGATCGAGAGGATGCAACACCACGCATGTCACGCAGACCATCAAGCTCATTGGTGGAGAGGAATCCATTGATAGACTCTTCAATGGCATTCCACTTGAGTCCCCAGAAACCACCACCTTTGCGCGAGCGTTCAGAGCTAGCAGAGCTTGGACGCCCTGGAAGTCCACCCGTTCCTGGTTGTCCTCCAACAACACCCTTCCGCTTGACTTCATCAAAAACAGATTGATTGACCAAAGATCCATCGACAGTGAAGGAAGCACTGACTTGCGCGTAACCCATCAGCAGCGCTTGGCTCTCTGTGAACCTTGTTGTTGTAGGGGTCACGACACTCGAATAGTGGCGTCCATGCCGAGCAGGCGGCGGCGCCCGACCTGATTGAACTGAGTAGTTTGTATATTCCGATGCTAATGTCTCACTGGAATGATCGCTCATCGAGTAAAATTCACCACTGCTCCGGGTACTTCCATTTGTTGCACTTGTCGTCGAAATCACGCGAGTAAGTTGTTGGTGTGATGGGGGCGCCAATCCAGGTCCTTCCTTTGAAGTCAATTTTCCTGAAGACGCTGCTTGTTCGGCCGACTTCGGGGAGGGTGATAGAGCAGCACGTTGGTTATTGTTTGGTTCCGCTGGTGGCGGAGCGGCCGGGAACTTGAAATCGAAAGCTGGAGGCTGAGGTCTGCGCGGTGTTCCTCGTAGTGGTTCGGTTGGGACAATTGGGCTATTTGCAAGAGATCCCGGACGACTTGCTCGTCCAAGATGGGATGTATCGACTCTCAGCCCGCCTGCCGAGGATTCATTCGGCATCTCTGCCAGGGGAGGTCCGCGCAAAGGCATTCGACTCGCTGGATATCAGCAATGATTAGTTTTTTTTATTCGTGCAGATCATAGATCGAGTTTTCTTTAGCTCCATGCCACTCACATTTGCGATAAGAATCATCGTAGCTATCATTCCTCCTTGGTGTGATCTGGAGACTGGCTGAACGCCCATGGCCCCTGGCCGGCTTCCCTCTTCCATATGACTGTGGCGGGGTCGCTTTCTCGGACGGACCTTCACTTTCGATAGACAGAATTGATACAGATCGTTTATGGCTGTGACCTGGTTGCCAACTGCGAGGGGTAGAGGGGCTGCTAGTTGATGGCGGGAAGCTGTGTGAGCTGACAGGCGGGATGCTCATAGACGAAGTGGTTCGGTGAAAAGATTTTCTCTGCGAGCCGATGGAGTATGATCGCTTCCCCGAAAAGAGGCTTTGGGGTGACTTCAGGGAGAAAAAGGAGTCGGAGTTGGAGGTACTGGGGTGATTCGCGACTCGAGACTGCTTCCGCTGGTGACCTCCTTCAGCTCCATAGCTGGTGTCGGACGTGGTATCAGCCACGTTCTTGAAGGTAATTGTACATTCCACATTCTCTCCGGCGAAGATCGTTTGGTCCTTCCATTTCACGAAGACCTGGATGTTGGAGGGCATGGCGGCGCGGTATCAGCATGTGGGCCGACTCGAGCGTCCAACGAACGGGGGAGGAAAGGAGGGGAGAGGTAGCTCGGCGGAAATGGAGGGTAATTGAAATAAAAGCCGAAGCCGACGTCCGCATGCTGTCAAAGGGGCATGAGCATGGGCGCAGGCGTGGGCATGGGCATGTTGGAACTTGGACGCGAGATGGAGGGAGCACTTCAAGTTGAAGTTGGGGTCGGCCGAGGCGGACAAAGTGGCACCTCCGCTTTAACTCACCCCAGCCCCGTGGGACTTTCCCAGCAGTGCTTGTTACCTGTTCAACACTTTGCAGGGCAATAATACATTATCTTACAGTATATCAAACTTATTATTTTCTAATATTACACTTTGTCGATTCCTAGACCAGATCCTACCGATACAGTAATGAACAGAATGGACAATCGCTTCTTGATATTATACAAATGAGTAGCTATAGTACATGTGACAGTATTAACACCGACAGAAGATCAAATACAGTTCCACCTCCCCTATTTCTTCTTATCGTTAAACAGCCCCCTGGTATCCGACAAAGGCTGCGAGCGCTGAGTCGGCGGGCGCAAACCCAGCTCCGCCATCTGACTCCAGATACGCTCGTGACGATTCTCCCATCGGACACGTCGCTTATCCATCTCCCCCTCCGATGGTCTCCATTTGCTTTTCAGAATTCGGCGGATGGCTTCCGGGGACACCTTGAACTCCTCGGCAAGAACGGCAGTCGTGAATCGATCCGGGGCAGTCGTGTTCAAGTGTCGAATGCCATCCAAAGCGTCGGGGGAGAGTCTCTTTGCGGGA